ATGCTGCTAATCTAAATTTTCAATAGGCGCATCAACTTTGCATCAAACGCTTCACGTCCGAGCTGCTGTAGTTAATGCGTTGAGAAGTGGGGAGAATCTAGGGAAATCTGTGCGCTATCAGCATTATTCATGCGCGCTTTGATTGAAACGGAACGGTTCTCTATGTAGTCTATGTGCATTATGCGTGCAACGGAACGCACCCTATGTGAATATGTATGTATACATAATACGAATAGATACTCTTTCATATCATATTTGCCGATACTCGTGTTTGATACATTTTTAGATAAACGAATTTTCTCGTCTGCATTATATTATCTTTAGCTAATGTTGATTATTTTATTGAAATCATATATATATTTTTTAGTACGTATATTAATTGTTAGTTTAAATGAAGAATGCTTACTTGTGAGTTCTTTTTAAGTGGCTCATTAATTCAGTTGTTGAGTTGTATGTGATTATTGCTTTGCATCGATTGCATGTTGCTTTTCTATCACGTTTTGCGACAAAATAGTCCCAAGCCCAATGGAATTTCGCTGCCAATCCCGCCGCGTTTCGCGGGTGGGTACATGTTGCGTGAGAAACTATTGTTTTTATGTATTCGTATAGCGTTGCGCGTTTATAAAGCGAAAACTTAGAAGGCATTTAAATACATATACATATATATATATATATACATACAGGAAAATTATAGCACGTATGCATTATTCTTATTTATTCAACAATTTGTTACATCAATGTACGATATAAATGCGGATCAACAAGTTATTTATTTTACTACAAAAAAAGAGAATTAGCGAAACGATACAACTCAACCTAAAAAGATGTGTTACGACACTCGTGCGTAACATTAACTGTAAAAAAATAGTAATGTATACAATTTTACAATTTTCAACATTTCAACATTCATTCATCCAAAATTTTTTGTATAATCATAACTTATTTCAGCTGCTTTCGGAAAAAAGAATTTTGGGTCGCACGCGACAAACAGAGTAAATTAACAGTAACAGTTCGAAATTCGATATAAGAGTGAAAACCCTCAATTTTAGTCCAACGATATAAATTGTTAGAGAAGGCTCCTTTTGCTTACAAATTGATTACTTACAACATCGTTTGCCTACATCACATTTGCCGACAGTTCATTTATGCACAAAAATTATCTGCAGCTCGATTGCCTACATGCACTATTGCATACAAATATAAAATTAAAAGAAAAAGGGGGCACGTTTGCACACATGACACTATTGCGCGTAAACTGCATTACATACGTAATATACTTACAGATGCGACTGCCTACACGCGCTTAAATTATATAAGAAAATAGCATGTGTTTTTAAAACAGCGAATTTGTGTTTTTAAAGCAGATAATAATACTTATTTGCAATCGATCTGTAGGCAATAATACGTATAGGCAAATGTGACTTTGCCTCGGAAATTTTTATTTGTGCGCAAAAAGGCTTGTAGGCAATCGATTTGTAAGTAATAATATTATATGTGTGCAATGCAGTTGTGTGCAATAGTATTGTATGTATAAATGTGCCTTTTTCTCTTAATTTTATATTTATGTGCAATAGTTTGTGTAGGCAATCGAGTTGTGGGCAATAATTTTCGTGCGCAAACGAACTGTTGGCAAATGTGATGTAGGCAAACGGTATTGTAGGCAATCAATTTGTAGGCAAACGGGGTCCTCCTAAATTGTTATACGTGGTACGTAGTAATATTCAACATATATCTCCGCGTTTCAATTTTATATACTCCACAGTAGGGAGAAAATTAAAAAATAAAATTAAGTTATAATTCTTTTGCGTCGATCTAAATCTTTCGTGGACCCACGGAACTTACGTAATTTAAAGTACGAGAGCGATAAGGGTACAATTGATATCTTTATTTGCTACCCTAATTTTCCTTGTCGACTAGATGATTCTTCGCGTTGTCTACACTTATCATTAAACATTTAACAAATATATAATATATTTATCATTAATCATTTAACAAATATATAATACATAAATCCTGCTATATTCTTATATGTATTAGATAATTTTTATGATATAATTGTTTGTGTCATAAAATAGAATTTTAACAATGTAATTTGAATCAATTGTTTAGTAATTGTTTTTACGTAAGTCAACATTAAATTTTGTTTTAAGAAATGATGATTTCCGTAGATTAATTTTACTGCTCAAAGATTTATAAGCTTTCTTAAATGTTTGCAAATAAAAAAACAAATACTGTATTTCTAACATTACTGTGGAAGAAATTGCAGACAATTGCAAAAAATAAAAATTCTGCGAAATAAAATTGTAAATAAAAATATCTGTAATAAAAGGAACGCTATATTAACAATATATAAGGAAAATGTGCTCTGATCGATTTCTAATTTTAAAGGTTATATGGACATAATTTTATTGAGGCAATCAAAATATAAATACAGTCCTGATTAAAATTTTTCTCAGAATTTTTATATGAATTGGAACACTTTTCAGAAATAATAAGAAAGTTTACATCTTAGAACTCTTTATATATGCGAATTCTAAAATATTCTATTATAAAACTTTTGATAATATTATATAATTTTTGGAAAAATGTGTTAAATTGTTTTAAATTTTGTAAGATTTTATCAGAAATTTTTAGAATAAGAAATTTTAGAAATTTTACAGAATATATTTCTGAATTCACATATTCAATATGAAAAATTCTCTAGATAAGATATAGAGTTTCTTGGCACTTTTTGAAAACTTGTTTCAATAAAAAATTGGAAACATTTTCTTAAAAGTTATAAAATTACTCAAATGCCAAAAATTTCAAATATATATAAAAAATATAAAAAATTATATGAAAAGATCCGAGAAAAATTTTCATCAGAGAGATCTGAAAATAATTTTGTTATATAATTCTGACTATTAAAATAATTATGTAAAACGCTCCAGTTGTATGCTAGAAGATCAAAATTTTATACACCGTTCTTCATCATGCTTGTGTTTTCTACATAATTACATTTCTCCATAATTATTTTGATGGTTCCGTTAAAAATTATTTTCAGATCTGCATCTACCTAAATTTTTAAATACTTTAGCAAAATAGTTCTTTTTGTGTAAGAATTACAATCACGTTGGAGAGGAAAAGAGAAAGGTGAACCGTGCAAGTGCAGCTAAAAAGAACAGGCCTAATGCCATTTGTAATGAACTTCCCGCGCCTAGCAACAAGGCCGAGTGGATACGCGATCTTTATAGTAATTAATATTTCATTAACTATTGAGAAAATGGACTCTTTTATTCAGTTTAGTCCGCTCTACCTGCACACGAGCACGTTCTTTGTCAATAATTAGGATGCATCCTGCATGCAAAATATCCGTTAATTACTGACAAATCGCTCGTTTGCAAGTAGAGTCGACTAAACTGTCGAAAAATCTTGTATCATTTTAATATTTTCATAATAGTTGACGAGAAGTTCATTACTTAAATATTGCCAAATGAGCGCGTATCTGTCTGGGCTATCACCAATTGCAAGTGCACGGGATTGTTCTTGTCAAGCAGCAAATACTACACACGAATGGCGCGCGAGGTGCTGGAAAGTGGTGTATCATTTGTGAGTTGATTGCGAGGGTTGGGAAGTAATTAATTATTTGTAACTAATAAGGAGAGACTTATGTATGTAACTTGCAGATTTTGGAAAATTTGATATTAAGATATAATATGTAAAATGTAATATATTACATTTATGGTAAGAGCTAATGGGCCAAAGGATCAAAGTTACAAAATTTTCAAGTTTGAAATAGCTGCAAGCGTGACAAATATCATTGTAAACGGCTAGTCGTTTGTTCGAGAACAGACTAAATGATATCTTTTTTTATTCTTTTGATCTTCTTTTTCCCTTTTTTTGATCTTTTTAAATGATTTTTTCTTATTTTATTTCTATTTTTTATAATGAAGGTTCATAGCTAATTCTTATGAAAATAAATATTTTTGAAATATTAATTTTATTAGTGGTGGAGTATCATCTCATTGTAGAATTTAATCATTGGATTTGACAATGGTTAAATTCTACAATGAGATGATACTCCACCACTAATAAAATTATATATAATGTTTCAAAAATATTTATTTTCATATCGACAAGCGACATACTCATTTCTTCTTCATTTGAAGCTTGAGAAATAAATAAGAGAATTATTTTCCTCTTCATTTCTTAAAGAACCTTTAATCTTTCGAAGCCTTGATCTTGGAAATTATATAATATATGTATATCGCGTAAAATAAAAATTTACAAATAACTTTTTTACTCAATTTCTCAAAAACTTTTTTGTTATAATTAGACGCTATAATAGACCTACACGATTTTATTGGTGCATGTCAATTTATTAAAATGACATAATCATTAATTAAATTACAATTTAATACTCAAACGTTTTGATCCAAAATTTTGGTCCTTCTTAGTGCAATTGTTATTATTACAAGTTTTTATAAGTATAGAACTCACTAAACAATAAAGTTATTTAAGATTATCTGGTCACAATATGAAACAATTATTATAGCTATACGTCGATAAAATTATAGGCAATCTCATTAGTCGATCTAGTGATTCTTTCTTTTATCATAATAATAAAGATATTAATGTGAGTTCCAAAGGTCGATTATAAACAGTGGTTAGTTGGTAGATCGACCATTGTGCACATCTTTTAATAAATTGACATTGCGCACCATTAATCGCGTAGGCTTTATTATGGCGTTCTAATTATTTCACTATTAGGTTAATTCTTTGAGTCGACACTTACACGTTCTTATTATTAATTTTTTGTTATAGTAACTTGAATTTTGGGATACCCTGTATACTCATTTTCATTGATAGTCATTGTCTGCACACGAATGTACCTAGGTGTCTTATCTGAATTTTACTTGCGATTTAATTCTCAAAAATATACTGCTTTTAATATTATAAATAATAATCTATAAAGTACATTATTTACAACAAAGTTTAATTTTGGAAGTATGTTAGCTCTATCAGAACTCGATACCGTAAAAAATGATCTTGACATACCTGTCGAGACTCATCAGTACCAGGGTGTAAACGCTAGCATAAGCCGTGACAATAATCATATACTGAACGATCTTGCACCAGACGTTGCCAAACGGCCAGTATGGTAGCACGAAGTCGGTAGCAGTGAACGGTATACAAAACATAACGAATAGCAGATCAGCTATGGCGAGGTTGATGATTAGGATGTTCGTGGTCGACCTCATTCCAGGATTCGCCGCCACCACCACGACCACCAGCAAATTCCCGACCAGACCGAGAATTCCAATTATCCCGAAGAATGGTACTACCACCACTAGAATTCTATGCACGAATTCGTATTCAAATCCGTGGTAATAGTTTCTGCAGGTCTCTACATCGCCCTCGAATGAAGTAAACTGCGTACTGCAGTTAAGCGCATCACTCGCGTTTGCCACTTCCAGGTTCATATTCTAATCGAGGTCGACCTGCGATCTGTGATTAAATTAACATGTGCGACCTCTTTGTAATTGCGTCACGATAAACTTGTTAAGCTGAGTTGGATGAAATAAGAACTCTGCGTAGCATATACATCATAGCGGTAATAAAATGGATTGAAAATAGAATCGAGAATATCCTTTTTTCCAGCAAAGTTCATTTTAGCTACCAAACGATGCACCAGCAAATCGTCAATTGTAAACATTCACTGCAGCAGTACGTGTTTATAACTGACGATTCGCTGATATACATCATTTTTTACGGCATCATTCTTCATTTCGAATCTCTTCAAATTTCGAAACATCTCAAAGATTAAAAGATTTCGAAATGATAAATTTTAGATGCCGGCTGTACTCTTTGTATAGACACGTTAACACTATTTTATTTACTGAACTATGTTTTTTATTCAAATTATTGAAAAATGCAAATAAAATAACAATTTTATAATAATAATTATGATACTATTTAAATAAGAAAATTCTATATTTGGTTGAAGCGAAGCTTAGTGCTTAAATATTTCTGTGTGAATTTACATACATCTGATTCTATAAACTGCGCGCCGAAATCTTTACTCTCGGTCTTGAAACGCATTTATGAGCAGAACAAGAGTATTTATTATTATAATGCTTTCACAATTGTGCTCACATGACTTCCTTATTATTAACCTTAACGCTAGTTTATTTTCCTTATAATCTATCCTTATTCGCTAATCTTCTGTACTCTCTCTCTCTCTC